ACTAAAATTTGGTGTTCCTAGGTCTTATAGTCGCCGAGATATAGGCGATTATACGAATGGAGAATCGGAAAAACCCCATAGGGGGAAGTGGGGGGAAAATCAAAAAATAAAACAAACTCGTATAGCGTACACACATAAGGCATCTTTGTGCAAAATTTGGTGTCTATATCTTGTAGTCTCTGAGATCCAGGTGTTCATACGGACGGACAGACGGACAATTATACACCCTTTACGTGAGTTCGAATACCGAGAAAGGTAAAATCGATCATTGAATTTTTTTTAATTTCTATAATTATTGTAAACATATGTACAGAGTATTTCAAAGTCGGGACACCCGACTTTAGCTTTTTTACTTGTTTCCTTTGGGTACAGTGACAAGCATTGATTTGTTGTATCGAACGTCGTATTTACAATCATACCCGCATGACCAATCTGTGCGGTAAAGTACGGGTGATCAAGAATATATTTGGGCATTTCCATGATGTCGCACGGAACAGTCGTACACATTTAAAGGGAAAAAAGTCGAATGAAAACGAAATTCTTTTTTGTTGATGGACCTAACTTATACCTCTTAACTAGCCCTATAATTTGTGCTAAGGTTGATTTTGGGCAACTTTTCGTGGCAAAAAACCACGGTATTCGCACGGGACAAATTCAGAATTATTTTTCGCGGCCACCAGTTTAAACCCATATTTCAGCGAAACCTGAGACAATTTTTCAGTCTGACTAGTTTTAGGATGTTGTCTGCCGCATGGTCTTGGACGTGCTTAACCTCACTTTATTCCGGGGTCCCTGCTCTGGCGCCACTTGCAATGCTGCCTCGGTAATACTCGCCAGCCAGAGTCGCTCGGTTATTTTTATTTTCCGAACTCCGAAATAAAGCTTGCGCCACCTCCCGTGGCAAATAAAACACAATTTCGATGCGCTATGACCCTTCGCCTTCATGGCTGTACTTAGACTAAACTTAACTCAATTTTACATTCTTTCTTATTACTATTATTTCTTACACCGTCCTTCTCTAGTAACGACACCCTGTGACGGTCGCCAGGCCATCGCCAGGCTTGCTTTGACAGAATTGGAAACATACTTAAAAAATATATAAATTTCCCAAATTAATTTAATTAAAAAAAATATATATTTAATACGTACATACATATAGAAGCTAGATATGTTTTTGTAGTTTCAATAGCAAAAATTCACATCATAATCGTGCCTATGCGTGCTTATGTGCGCAGTATAGAATTACGTCAAAACACAAACATCAAGAACGACAGCTGTGTGCAGAGCCTGGACAGATATTACATTTATGGCTATAACTTTCTTTTTAATTGACCTATTATGATGAAACCTTCAAACACAGGGATGCCACAGAAATCTCTTCCGCCCATGTTTCGCCTGAAAACCAATTTTCGGTGCAACAGAAGGAGGTATCAATCCTCGCTTTTTTCCAGGAGTTTTGATTAAAAACACTAACAAAGACATTTTTCCTCATACACAAATCATTGGAAATATAAACCTTATAGTATTTCTGAACAATCTGCATCAAAACTATTTACTATATCCTATGTAAATATCATTAAATTAGCCATTTACTAAATCTATACTTAAAACACAAGCATTCACACACAGCATCCAAAACAACCGCACAATAGAGACAGACTCGGCTTGTCATGCTGATCAAGAATATATATACTTTGTGGGGTCTACCAAGCCTCCTTCTGTGTGTTCCATGTGCACTCGCACAAAACTAATATACCCTTGTACCCTTTGGGTATAATTGCACATTTACATAGCAATTGCGTCTGTGTGAGTGTATGTATGCCTATGCGCATCAATTCGTGTCTGTGTAAGCATTTTCGCAGTCAACCAAACAACAACATCAACAACAGCTGCGCGCAGCGCTGCAGCAGCAAATATATTTATGGCTATAACTTCTTGGTAAATCGGTCTATGAAACTTGGCATACGGACATAATAACCAACTGGGGGTATTTCCAAAGTTTTTAGTTCGAAATTCCAAGAATTACGGGAGTTAGAGAAAATTGCGATTTGCCGTGGAGAGGGGGAGGGAGGGAAATTCCAAAATATACATTTTCTGCGTATTCACACAAGGCATCTTGGACTAAAATTTGGTGTACCTAAGCCTTATAGTCTCCGAGATATAGGCGATTATACGAATGGAAAATCGGGAAAACCCCCATAGGGGGGAAGTGGGGGGGAAAATCAAAAAAATAAAACAAACTCGTATAGAATACACACATAACGCATCTTTGTGCAAAATTTGGTGTCTCTATCTCTTATAGTCTCTGAGATCCAGGTGTTCATACGGACGGACAGACAGGGCTAGATCGACTCGTCTTGTCACGCTGATCAAGAATATATATACTTTGTGGGTTCTGCCACGCCTCCTTCTGCCTGTTACATTTTTCAGCTCCCGCAAACCTAATATACTCTTGTACATTTCATGTACAGAGTATAAATATATATTTGACGCAATTCTTATTGCAAATAAGTACCAAATAACTGTGTATTAATTAAACAAACTTGGGGATAATTTTGTGTCGCCGATTAGGCAGGCCTGTTTGTTAGCGAAAATGTGAATGGTTATAAACTGCCAATTAAACTTACAATACGGGCCAGGGAAACAAGTGTAGGTACATTTTTGTAATTTCTGAATTCAAATGCTAGTTTTTGCAAAACATAGACACAATTTTCGTCCAATTTATGGAAGCACACCCCGTAAAAGTCCAAATCTCTATATATATAAAACAGTTTGTCCTGACTGACTGATTGGCAATCAACGCACAGCCCAAACGGTAAGAGCTAGGAAGCTGAAATTTGGACACAAGATCCCTCTTATAGTGAAAGTGAGCACTAAGAAGGGGTTTCGGAAAATTCGAGCTCCAAAGGGGGGAAAACGAGCTCCAACGTTTGTATGAAAAATCTACAATTTTTATCCGATTAACTTCAAACTTAGTTTGTATTATCTCACAAAGAATACAAAAAAACTGTATACTTGGATTTTCAATATTTTTCCTGGGGCATGAAAAAGGGGGGGTTTTCCGTTGAAAAATTGAAACACAATCAACACCCCACAGCCCAAACGGTAAAAGTAAGGAAACTGAAATTTAGGCTCAAGTATACTGTCATAATGTAGGTGCTCACTGAGAAGGGTTTTTGGAAAATTCGAGCTCCAAAGGGGGGAAAACGAGCTCCAAAGTTTGTTTGAAAAATCAGCATTTTTCAACCGATCGACTTAAAACTTAGTTTCTAAAATCAATTAAAGAATACAAACAAAACTGCATTACTTAGATTTTCAAAATTTGTGTTGGAGCTTGAATTATTGGGGTTTTAATATTTATTCACTATTTCAAATGAAAAGTTTGTGTTATAAATTTAGTCCGATCGATTTAAAATTTGGGTAATGTAATCTACGTAACTAAATCTACAACTTTGCATTCAAGGATTTTCAAAATATGCATTTTACAAAAGCAAGCAGAACAAACAATTCAAAATATCAAACAGTTGGGGACAACTAAGTATACATATACACACATACAAACAGCTGTTCGTGTAGTTGCGTGCAAACGATTGAAATAGCCAAAGCAACATGTGAGACACTAATGTGTGAATGTCCATACATATGTGCACATCTATGTATGTACATATGTATCTACATATGTATGTATGTACATTCGTCTTGCACTGACAGAGCAAGAAATGTTAATTAATTGAAAATTATATAATATAACATTTTTAAAAGTAATTTTTTCTTTGTTTAGTGCATTTGGCATTAGTGTTTTCATTAATAACTTTATGCAGCAACAACAAATATCAAATAGTTGGGGACATCACATACACACACTCACACACAACAAGCAACAGTTCGTGTCTATGTGTGCGGTTCTCTACGTACGGTTGAAAAAGTAAAGAGAAACATATGTACATACATATGTATGTATGCCTGTGTATGAATATAGCATGTATTAATGTATACATTGGGCAATCGAACACAGTTGTTTGATTGTAAAAAAAATAATGCTCTAAAAACAACAACAACTGCAAGTCATTAGCTCGCTCTTCTTCTTTCGTTTTGACCATTTAATGTTAATTGCAAAGGCAAAACGCCAAAATGTTACAGTTACCGTCGCTAGGCAACGACTGCGTAAGCGATAGTAAAGCAGAAACCGAATAACGGAGCTACGCATATTCTGCTTCGCATTGCGGGCAGATGTATGTATGTATATGATTTGTTCTTATTGATGTCAATAAATAATTAGATTTTGTTATTTAAATATTCTGCTTATTGCATTCAAACTTCGATATTTTGATGGTATCGGTGCCAGTGCTTTTTGATCGTGGCTCATCGCTGCACGGCATTGACACGAGTGCCGTGTTTCATATTCCGAGTTTGTGCGTGGCCGTATTGACTCAATATGGCACGAAAAGACTCAAATGTGAATTTAAATTTGGACTCAAGTATCGTTTCATAGTATCCATCATAGTGTAGGAGCACACTAAGAAAGGCTTTTGGAAAATTCTAGCTCCAACGGGGGGAAAACGAGCTTTAAAAAATATTAGTTATAGTGGTCATGTTCGTTTAACGAAATAGTTTGTCAAGAACAAAAATGTATCGGACTACTGAACAATTTTTTGTCAAGAACAGAAAATGTTCATTTAAATACCTTAAATGCCTTCCTGCTGGTAACTTATAAGGCGAAAACATATGGGTAGGTTATGCACACACAAAATAAATACAATTGGAAACATTATATTGAGCCGGGTTAAGACGGGCAATACCTGCTAGTGATGTTATAAAAATGTAACAAATAAATTTAATTTGAGTTCAGGGTATAAAAATAAACAATTAAAATAAGCACCTATTCCTCTACGTATTATCGAATGTTCAAATCTTTATTTTTAATTGAAATAAACTCGGGTCATTTACACATACATATGTATGCAAATACGGAACGCTGCAAAAATTACATATGTAAATGCTATTTTTATAATGTTGTAAGCAACTTTATTTGTTAAGTTTTTAATCAGTTCTTTTCTCCAAATGAATGAATTTATATAAATCGAATGTATATAATGTTTTAAAGACTCCAAAGTATAGATGGAAAACTTTTCATTTACAAAAAAAAAAGACTTCATTTTAACAAAATTGAACTTTAAATGCTGCGTCCACATTTTAAGCTGTAATAACACAGGCTATTAATCACCATGTGCACATATACGGCATAGAGAGCATGGTAACTTTAAAAATAAAAACAGATTGGTATGTGAAAGAGTTTGTGCGGAAAACATAAAAGTAAATGATACAAACTCATGTTCTCCGAGCAAAAACTATAGAATGTACGTTTTCTATTTCTTAGTGGTTTTGTTGTGTTACCATCAGCTGCAAAAGTTTATTTACAATTCATCTTTTTTGGGCGCCTCCTCGTCCTCGAAGCTCTCTTCGGTGGGCTCAGGGTCTGTTACCTCGCCATTGGCATCTAGGAACTTAACAAAGTCATCTAGAGTTCTGTCTAAATTGTAGTCGATGACTTTGTTGTCACCTTTGCGGAAGTATTTAATGGTTGGGAAGGATGAGATCTTTATATTCTCCAATTCGTTAGCAGTAGAGTCCATCTTGGCGATTAAAATATCCTTGTTATCCTTGTACTTCTCAGCTAGCTGATCATATATCGGGGCCAACTGTTTGCAGTGACCGCACCAGGGTGCGTAGAACTCTACCAGTACCGACTTGCTCTTGTCCATGACAACATTCTCAAAATTACTCGAGACCAAAACCTTAACAGGCTGCTTATCCCAGTCCTCAGGCAAATCCTGCGACAGCAAATGCTGCTTGAGTTTACCATCGAGGAACTTTTGAAGAAAAGCTTCTATTGTTTCTGAAGACAAATCGTTAACCTCGGGCTTGTACTTGGCCATGTCTTCCTCTAGTTTTATCAGCCGTATGGTTGGAACCTCCTCTTTGCTCATTCCAAAGAATTCAAATATACGAGCATGATCCTCTTCATCAGACGATATGGTAACAAACAGAATATCTTCTCGGTACTTCTTTGCGATATTCTTCAGAGGATCGACGTGCTTCTCAATATGCCCAGCTTCTTTGGATACAAAGAACAGCAAATGGGACTTAATGGCGCCACCAAAGATCTTAGCTGCTGACTCGTGATTAAACTCGACAATTAATGGAAGTGACTGCACCTGAGCAAACTTCTTTAGATTATCCTCATTGAGCTCACCCTCGAAGATGGACTTCTTATCATCAAACGGCTTGAAGAGAATGACGGCATTGTTATTGGCTTCGTATTTTGTAAAAATGTCATCATTGTTGCTAATTCCAAAGACAAAACTGTCTAGAGCGTTGGCGGCTTTGGTGAATGTCTTCGCCTCATCGGATTCGAGGTCTTTAAAGAAACCGATTATGGCGATTTCGTTATCCTTTAGGAACTGTTCAGCATCGACGACGCTGTTCAGGTCCTTTGCTGGTGGGCCAGTTTTCTTGGTCACCCAGGCAATGATGTCGGCCGCTTGCCGTCCACCGCTGTACTCCACAGGCGCCCCACTGCGGAAAAACTTGAGGGTGGGATACCCGCGCACTTGGTACTGTTCGGCCAGTTCGCTTTCGGTTGTGGCGTCAACTTTAGCTAATTTAATAGGTGACTCCTTCTCTGCCAGCTGCTGCGCGGCCTTGGCATATTCGGGTGCCAAAGCTTTGCAGTGACCGCACCATGGTGCATCTATAGGGCGATACAAAATGCAAGAGCGTTACTGAAAAATTTGAATTGAAATTTTAACAAATCGTGTTGACGTTTTCCTTGGTTACCAATGTTGGTTGACGGTGATTAGAGTTGTGTATGTGTGCGCTTATTATTTACGCTTTATTTAACACGTCGCGCATATTATCAGACAGGATCTTGATTTTGGTGAAGTTGCTAAAGATATACATATGTATGTATGTATGTATGTATAGTACACGTGGTGAATATTTAGACTGTTATTCCACAAAAGAGATTACATGTATACATATGTACATTCGTACGTATTTAGATATAGAGATGTATATACATACATATGTATGTATTTCCGTACATATATGCATTAACATGTGTACATACGAATGATCGTGGAATTGATGCTGACGTGGCTGATGCGATGCATTCACCTGAGGTAACAACGTATGTACATACATACTATGTATGCGCATCAAATTCACAGCTGGAGCAATGAAAATAGCTGACGTGCCACAAAATCCCCAAAAACAGAAGAGCCGCCATATTGTATGTACATTCATATGTTTGTATGTAGATACATACATACATATGTATGTATACTGTATGTATGAATACAGCGCTATCTAAAATAAAAGCTTCGGAAAGCGGCCGAGACTAAAAAAAGTTTTTTTTTGATAAGTTAGAATATTTACATTTGTATGTATATGTATATGTAGTGGTAAGATGCCAAGTAGTTATATATGTATGTATATACATACATATGTACATATATCCACACATCGCAAGAGTTGAATGAACCAGATATTGAACGCCGTACTTACGCATCTGCAGCATTCACCAAGAGAAAGCGTTAACTGAAAGAGCAGAACAGAACAAATCTAGCAACAAAAGAAACGCATGGCCGGCAACAAGTTGAAAGATAGCCTCTTTTTCAGCGAATTTGATGGACAAGCTTGTCAACCGCCTTAACGTTGAGCCACGCCCATTTACTGTACAAAACAAGCTTTGTTAATAAGACACATATGGAATCACCTAAGTACGTACATACATATACAAACGTACATATGTATTTACATACACACATATGTTTATACATACATACACATGCAATGTACATATATGTATGTATATACATATATAACTACTTGGCATCTTACCACTACATATACATGTATGTACATACATACATATGTATGTATGAAGACTTTGTTACGACTTTGTTAAAAACATAAGTACGACTAACTTTCCTCATTCCACAATGCACATTCATACATACATATTATAAACTACGCAAACAAGAAAAATACATTAGGAGTGCTACTCTTCCCAGTGTCTATCGATTTGCCGATAAGCATTAGCAGGCGCGATATATTGAAGTGCCCAAATAACTTAAATACATTACGTACATACATATGTTTGTATGTATATGCATACATAGATCCAACAAATTCTCAATAATAATAATGCAATACAAAAAAAGCCAAGCAATGTTCGGTTACTGCCACGAATACATTTTGTGCTGTCCGAACAAAAAGACACGTAGCCATAACGCGAGGCAATGAATCACTATCAGCGACCGGCAATGTATTTTTGTACATACATACATACATACATATGTTAATTATAATTTAAAATACTCACAGAACTCAACTAGGACGAATTCATTATCGCTTATAATTTGTTTAAAATTGTTCACTGTCGCCACCAGTACACCTTCTTCCACTTTGACTTCTTCTGCAGCCACGTAAGACGCTGCCACAATTAGCGCACAGATTAGAAATTTCATCGCGGGAACTATGTATGTATGTATATATTTATACGTATGAATGTATTGTAATAAATGACTTTAGGTATGCGTATCACACCCACTCTTCACGTTAAGAGTGTTGTACTGCACGCCTTGCAAGCTAAAATCAAAATGAAATGGTTCCTGGTGTGTTGGCAGAACGTTGCCTATGCTGGTTGGCCGCTGCCTCTTACCAAACAAACATACACGCAAACACAACAGTGGTTTAAGAGAACTTGATTTTAAGGTATGTATGTATACATTTAATAAAAGAATACATTCATACATATGTATTTAAATTTAGGGTTGCTTTGAGTATTTACAGCTGGCAATGGCACATGTGGCAAATAAAAGCTGAATGCTATGTACTCGTCATCACTCACACACATATGTACATACATATGTGTACACATGTACATACATTGAATTCATAGCTAACAGGAACTACCAAGTTAACTTCTTCACTCTGCGCAGGTAGGTTACAATAAGTTGTATGGGGTAGCCATAGTGTTTGCATTGCGCATGTTAGTGCTCCCTCATGTATTTAGCCGTTTTCTATTTAGTTAATTTCGATTTGTCGTTGTTCGGTGTACGTAGTGTGTGGGGCTTCGGCTAATAATATATTGTTACACGACTTTATTCTATTTGGCAATTGAATATACATATAAAAACACAGAGCTGACGAACAGCTAAAAACCATTCTTATGTGGGTAGTTATGCACATTATAGTATGTGTTTGAATAAAATAAACATATGTATATCCTTGTTTATACTCTGTACATAAAATGTACAAAGGTACACTAGGTTTGGTGGAGCTGAAAATGTAACAGGCAGAAGGAGGCGTGGCAGACCCCACAAAGTATATATATTCTTGATCAGCATGTCTGTCTGTCCGTATGAATCTGGATCTCAGAGACTATAAGAGCTAGAGACACCAAACTTTGCACAAAAATGCCTTATGTGTGTACGCTGTGCAAATTTGTTTTATTTTTTTTAATACCAAGAGAGGTAAAATCGATCAATTTTTTTTTTTTAATCTCTTTTTGTAATTTCTATAATTATTCTAAACATACATATGTACAGAGCATTTCAAAGTCGGGACACCCGACTTTAACTTTTTTACTTGTTTTTTTTTTTTAAAGATTTTAATAGGTTTTAGCATTTTTGCATATGATCAATGTATTTTTTACACGCAGAATTATGTACAGCCAAACTTCCGAGATGCTTGGGTAAAAAGCGAAGAATTCAAGGCTTTGAATCGCAAAGATGACTCCGACAGGCATAGGGTTTACTGCAGCTATTGCAAGATCACTATCACAGCAAAGCTTAGTGATTTGCGCATTTATACAACAACAAAGTAGCACACAAGTGCAATAAACTGTTTTATTTAACAACAAAAATAGACTTTGTCAATTTGCCTGACAAAAATAAGCTGCTTTGACTACCAATTGCCTAATAATTATTTACGCATGATTACTACGACCATGTCGTACAAATGCAAACCTCGCAGAACTGAATGATTTAATGGTAATATCGCCTTACAACAAATAATTTGGTAAAACCATAACCGCTTTTTTTTAGGTTTTTTTCTATAAATTTTCAGATTTTGTCGCCCTTTCTTCCAGTTAGAAACAGTTTTTTTAAAATTAAAACAAGAGAGAACGCTACAGTCGAGCAAGCCCGACAGTGTAATACCCTGTACCCAGGTAAACTTCCATCAGTTATATGCGCCCATAGCAGCAGCAAATAGAGGAAGAAGAAGAACGAACTTGATGCTGCAGCTTGTGGGCGTAGTACCGAAGTAAAGTTGTTTCGCTAATAACTTTTCTTATATGTACAGTTTGGTTAGAGTAGCTTTTCAAATGTGGACGGTAATGACGCAAAATAAACTCGTCCTTTCTCGGACCTAGGAGAATCTGGATGCCAACTTTGGTTATTCTAGCTTTTATAGTTTCTGAGATCCTTGTGTTCATCCAGACGGATGGACAGACGGACGGACATGTCTAGATCGATTTCTCTCGTCATGCTGATTCAGAATATATATACTTTATGGGGTCGGAGATGCTTCCTTCTGCATGTTACATACTTTGCACAAACCTAATATACCCTTTTTACCCTACGGGTATAGGGTATAAAAATGGCACCACTGCCCGTAGCTGTTACTGTTTGGTTGAATGCGAACATGCTCACACAGACACGAATAGACATACATACTTCCACGTTGACGCAATTGCTTTGTAAATACGTGAGTTCGAATACCGAGAGAGGTAAAATCGATCAAACATTTTTTTTTAATTTTCTTAATGTTTTTAATTTTTATAATTATTCTAAACATATGTACAGAGTATTTCAACGTCGGGACACCCGACTTTAGCTTTCTTACTTGTTTTTATTTCCCCCCACTACCCCCCCTATGGGGCATTTCCCGATTTTCCGTTCGTGTAATCACCTATATCTCGGAGACCATAGTACCTAGGAACATCAAATTTTAATCCCAGATGCCTTATGTGTATACGCAGAAAATGTGTATTTTGGAATTTCGCTCCCCCTCCGTCTCCCCCGCAATCAGCGATTTTTTATAACTCCCGTATTTCTAAGGCATTCCAGTTAGTGATTATGAGCCCGTATGCCAATTTTCACTATGAAAGGCCGATTTAAGAGGAAGTAATAGCTATATATGTCGTCGTGCCCAAGCACTGCCCTAACCTGGTGTTGTTGCTGCTTTACAGCGGCATACGAGACATACACTAATACACACAAACACGCAAAGACACGCATAAAAATTCTACACATATGTGCAGAGTATTTCATTCTGATTCAAACAATTAGCTCCAGGTTTCGCTTGTTGTGCGCTTATTTTTAATAAGCAATGACGATATTTTTAGAACGTTGCATCGACGTTGCAAATAACAAACTTTCACTTTCTCGGGCTATCAAGTTTAAGTTTATTCTAGGGTATAAAAAAGCATCGACGATGTTTTTTACCACGATGCATCCATGTTTTCCGATGGTTTTTTGCTAACGATGTATCAGCGATCTATCGATGTTTGTCCAAACATCGAACATTATTCGTGTTTTGTTGGTCGGTCACATTTTTTTGTGTGGTTTATCGAAGAAGGTATATTTGTATATACATATATAAAATATTTGATGTTTTCATTAAAATGTGTATTTTGTAATATACATTTAAGTTTATATTTGATCTTCTTTATTTTCATATACATAATACATATGTTACACTTAATATGCTTAAAAGGCTCAAAGGTCAATATTACGAGTACTTTTTTGATTAACAACATTAAGTATAATACTATGTATGACAGTCTCTCTCTATAAACATTTTTTATTTCAAACATCGCTGTTGATTTTCTCCCCCTAATCGATTTTTTTCTATGGAAAGTTAATTTTTTAAAACATCGATGCTGTTTTGCGATGTAAATCAACATCGAAGTTTTCCCTTCGACTTACATCCCTACTCTAGCCCACACTTTATGTTGTTGGGTTGCAAACTGATCTTTATCTGTTTTAGAGCTGTATTTAAAAACCAAAACATCGATTCTATCGATGTTTTCAAATACAGTATTTTCATGTACCAATGTTTGTTCGTTTCTTTTCACACAGGTGTCCTTCGACGTAACTATAGAACTACTTCCAAAACTATTACATTAATAAAAAAATATATTTAAGTCCAATTAATAAATAACAAAAAATGGGACTAAAATATTTCATCCTGCTTCTTCTTGGCAACTAGAACATTGATATTGCTCAAACATCGATATGTCGATGTAGATATCGATTTTTTGTCCAGCTTTATTTACAATTATTCTTAAAAAACACTGCGATGAAATTAAGTAGTTTATGTTAATATTGTATTATATGTATGCATATTTCACAAACATACATACGTACCTACACAGGTAAATATGTATGTGTAACATGGAATAGTCTGGCTGCTGTAAATTTCATTATTTTTATATGAGGTACGTATATACATACATACATACATATGTATGACATTCTTATATGTACATACATATCCACATGTGGGAGAAAAGAGAAAAATTATCAGTTAATTGTTATTTCTTTCCGAAAACAGTTAATATTTTTAAAAGGCAGAACGAGCAAGCATAAATGTCACAATGTGAGTTTATTCCATACCAGGCTCTAGTTTGAATTACAAAATCACGACTTATGTAAATTGCAAGTAAACAAATACTTGGTGTCTTTAATACTATAAGTATGGTAATAAATGTGAAATTGTGGTTAATAATAATAAAAAAAATTCAAGGTACTAATAATTTGTTGCATGAATCCCTTAATTATTTGTTTTTTAGCTGCCTTAGTCTTTAAGTCGATGGTAAATACCACAAATGGGTGCAACAATTTTGCGGAACATCTTGGTGAGTGTATAATATTAGATAGATGGAACGGCTATTTTCGTTGCTATTGGCATGATGTATTAGTAAAAGGTTTGATTTTGTTGTGCAACGTGGACGTAGCGCCGACCACACGCAGTTAATCGCGTCTCAGTCAGCATGTCCGCAGATTACCTTCAAAAAATGATTATAATGTACGCTGATAGCAAAAAGGATGCCGAAAACTAAGCATTTTTTTCAAGTTATATAAAATCTGTTTATTTTTTAGGATACCCTAGGAAAAGGCGAAGGAGAATGAACAATTTGCAAATGTAGTTGGGTTGATGCAAAATTTTGAATATTATATTACATTACTCTTAGAATGTTAATGGGTTACTGATCAAATGTAAATAAAATTGAATAAGTTCTATACAATTTTTGGATTTGCATAAAACGCAAGCGTAATAAATTTCTACAACTGAAATGATTTTCCTTTGTTGTATCTTAGAAACGATAACACAAGTCTTCATTGGTCTTTAACATTTATCTAGTGACTAGTACATTAATTTATAAGAAATATTCTTGTCGTACTAGGAATTAAAAAACAAGTAAAAAAGTTAAAGTCGGGTGTCCCGACTTTGAAATACTCTGTACATATGTTTACAATAATTATAGAAAATAAAAAAAATTAGGAAAATAAAAAAAAAATTTGATCGATTTTACCTCTCTCGGTATTCGAACTCACGTAAAGGGTTTATAATTGCACATTTACATAGCAATTGCGTCTGTGTGAGTGTATGTATGCCTATGCGCATCTATTCGTGTCTGTGTAAGCATTTTCGCAGTCAACCAAACAGCAACATCAACAACAGCCGCGGGCAGCGCTTGAGCAGCGCTGCAGCAGCAAATATATTTATGGCTATAACTTCTTGTTAAATCGGTCTATCATAGTGAAACTTGGCATACGGACACATAATAACTAACTGAAGGTATTTGCAAAATTTGCGTTCGAAATTTCAAGATTTACGGAAGCGAGAGAAAATCGCGATTTGCATGGGAGAGGGGGGTGGGAGGGAAATTCCAAAATATACCTTTTTTACGTATTCACGGCATCTGGGACTAAAATTTGGTGTCCATAGGTCTTATAGTCTCCGAGATATAGCTGATTATACGAATGGTAAATAGGGAAAACCCCCATAGGGGGGAAGTGGGGGGGGAAATCAAAAAAATAAAATAAAATTGCACAGCGTACATATATAACGCATCTTTGTGCAAAATTTTGTGTCTCGAGCTCTTATAGTCTCTCAGATGCAGGGTTCATACGGACAGACGGACAGACAGACAGGGCTTGGTCGACTCGTCTCGTCATGCTGTCAAGAATATATATACTTTGTGGGGTCTTCTACGCCTCCTTCTGTCTGTTACATTTTCAGCTCCCGCAAACATAATATACTCTTTTACATTTTATGTACAGAGTATAAAAACAAGAGAGATCGAGTCGAGCAAGCCCGACAGTAAAATAGCCTGTACTTTCCACAAAAAAGGAAAATTTAAAAAAAGAAAAAATTAAAAAAATTAAATTATTAAAAACAAGTAAAAAAGCTAAGGTCGGGTGTCCCAACTTTGAAATACTCTGTACATATGTTTACAATAATTATAGAAAATAAAAAAATTAAAAAAATTAAAAAAATAAAAAAAATAAAATTTGATCGATTTTACCTCTCTCGGTATTCGAACTCACGTAAAGGGTTTATAATTGCACATTTACATAGCAATTGCGTCTGTGTGAGTGTATGTATGCCTATGCGCATCTATTCGTGTCTGTGTAAGCATTTTCGCAGTCAACCAAACAGCAACATCAACAACAGCCGCGGGCAGCGCTTGAGCAGCGCTGCAGCAGCAAATATGTTTATGGCTATAACTTCTTGTTAAATCGGTCTATCATTGTGAAACTTGGCAGACGGACACATAATAACCAACTGGGGGTATTTCCAAAATTTTAGTTCGAAATTCCAAGAATTACGGGAGTTACGATTTGCGGGGTAGAGGGGGGAGAGAGGGAAATTCCAAAATACACATTTTCTGCGTTATCACATAAGGCATCTGGGACTAAAATGTTGTGTCCCTAGGTCTTATAGTCTCCGAGATATAGGCGATTATACGAATGGAAAATCGGGAAAACCCCCATAGGGGGAAGTGGGGGGGAAAATCAAAAAAATAAAACAAACTCGTATAGAATACACACATAACACATCTTTGTGCAAAATTTGGTGTCTCGATCTCTTATAGTCTCTGAGATCCAGGTGTTCATACGGACGGACAGACGGACAGACAGACAGACAGGGCTAGATCGACTCGTCTCGTCATGCTGATCAAGAATATATATACTTTGTGGGGTCTGCCACGCCTCCTTCTGCCTGTTACATTTTTCAGCTCGCGCAAACCTAATATACTCTTGTACATTTCATGTACAGAGTATAACAAACAAATAAATAAATTTCAATTAAAATTTGCAATGACGAGGAAAATGTAATTAGATGATAGAACGCTACAGTCGAGCAAGCCTTGTATTCTCCACAAAAAAAGGAAAATTAAAAAAAAAATTATTTAAAAAAAGTTTATTAATTTAATTAAATTAAATATAAAATATTCAACACATGCATATAATAAATTTACATCAGAATCGTGTGTCTGCGTGTTTATATGAGTGTGTGTGCAGCACAAAGTTGAACCAAAGCAGCAACAACAGCTACGGGCAGAGCTGCAGGCAGAGCATGCGATTTTATTTATGGCTATAACTTTCTTCATAATTGACCTATCGTGATGTATACGGATATGTAATAACTAACTGGGTGTGACTACCAAATTTTAGTTCAAAATTCCAAGAATTACAGGAGTTATAGAAAATCTTGAATAGGGGGGAGTGGGGGTGCATAAAAAAATGAACAAACTCGTCCTTTCTCGGGCTTAGGAGAATTTGGATACTAAGTTTGGTATCTCTACTTTCTGAGATTCTTGCGTTCATACAGACGGACATGGCTATATCGACTCGGCTTGTCATCCTGATCAAGAATATATATACCTTGTGGGGTCTGCCACGCCTCCTTCTGTGTGTTCCATGTACACTCGCACAAAACTAATATACCCTTTGGGTACAGGGTATAATAAGTGGAAAAGTAGGGTGTCCCGACTTTGATATACTCTTTACATACAGCTGTGTTCAATGAAATAGTAGTGCCGTACCTCTCTTTCAATACTCTTTTCGAGACACTTCGAGTCATCCAAATTGAACAATGAATGTAAGAATTATAATTCAAAAAAATTCCGTTACATTTAAACGCCTTGTTTTTCATGATTTTACACAAATACCCATGAAAAGTGCTGTTCATAGAAATAATAGTGCTTACTTCATTTTTGTAAAAAAAACCAACCAAACTTAAACTAATTTTCATTATACAAGTTTATTAGGGCTTAATATTGAGTTGTGTATCCTTTGTTACTAAATACAGCCTGCCGGCGGGGCATATAATTAATGAGGTCCTGGCAACGTTTCATAGGAATTTGGTCCTATGCCTCTTGAACCACATGCCAAACATGAGTTTTACTGGAAAGGATCTGAAGGATTTTCAGTTTTTACCATTCCTTTAACATCTCTCCACATTTTTCCATTTAATTTAGATCCAGAGACTGCCCTGGCCATGGCATTACGTCGATCTTCTCAGACGCAAACCAGGATTTGGCGAGTTTACTAGTAAGTTTTGGATCATTATCCTGTTGAATTGAAGGCATTTTCCAACTGGCATATGGTAACAGTGTAGTCTTGTATATTTCCACATATACGATTTTGTCCATATCATATAAGTAGGTACGACACCAGTATATGAAAAACAAACCCTTATCATAATGCTCAGACCACCATGCATCGCGTCAAAAGGGGTACCTTCCGTCTTGCATTTACATAAGTTATGACTAAAGAGCCGACGGAGTACTATCACATCACTATTCGACAATCCTCTTTTATAATTGTAGACCATGTTAACGGCTTGAACATGCTATACCGCACAGTACGTCTTTCCTCTAAAACAGTCGATTTAAGCTCTCGACCTCGATTCTCAGCCTTCTTTTCATAGCATTGAATACCACAGTGGCACTGTATGGAACTATATTTTTAAGCTCTTTATATGTTTTGCCACAATTTTTTAAGCTGACTATCAGATTTCTCTTCCCGATGTATTTTGTGTGTATACGCGGAAAACTATCGAAAATAAAGAAAAGATATGCGAAAGTAATAAAAGTAATGAGTTGCGGCACTACTATTTCATTGAACACAACTGTATGTGTAAAATAATTACATAAATTAAAACAAGAAAATTTAAAACACGTACAAAAATGTAAAGGGTGATAATTGCACATTTACATAGGAATATGTGAATCTATGCATGTCTATGCGTTTCTGTGTGTGACCATATATGCAGTATAAAGATGAACCAAAGAAGCAACAACAACAACAGCTGCCGGCAGCGCTTTAGCAGAGATTACATGTATGGCTATAACTTCCCTTTTAAATGACCTATCATGACGAATCGTGGCATACAGACTCATAATCGATAATTGGAGGTTTTTTCCAATATGAGTCACTTTGCACGAACCTAATATATCTTTTTTGATGCTACAGCTTGTGGGCGTAGTACTGCAGTAAAATTTATTCGCTAATAACTTTTCTTAGAATTAATAGAGTTGGATGAAATTTGAAACAAAATTAGATATTTGTATATAAATTACGTGTGTTTTGGTTTAGTTTGTTACTTTTGAAATGTGGACAGTGTTGGAGCCGTTTCAATATAGCGAGAGATATGCGCATAAAACCGTCAGTTGCACCAATGAGCACCACAATCCAATAAAGGTCCAGTTTTGTCAAGTAATAAGGTTAAGTACGTTAGGGTAGGTTTTATTTCCTAATAAATATACAAATTTTATTTTTTTTCCTTAAAATTCACAATGAACTTACGATTCTTTTTTCTCCCGGTCTCAACAATCGACTGACCAAAGAAGCCATATTTCTATCTTATCAGTGTTACAAATCGCTGTTAGTAAACGCGAATTCTAGCAGTTATCGTAATTCGTTAATTATTCGTTATTTTTAAATTAGCGCATTCTCTGCGCAACATCCCCGCCACCGTGAATCGAGCTCATCTCTGATTCACCAAGGTCCAACCTAGCCAACATGCACGCTGGGCGACGACATTCTCCCGAACCAGTCTTCACACTCGCAGAGCGAACTTGTCCATCTTTTCCGGTGATTACGGTTGTAATCCTGTCCATCCTCCAGTTTTCCCGGTGTATTGCCTCGTCACAAATCAGTACGACATCTCCTACGGCCAGTGGTTTTACCGGGCGGAACCATTTGGTGCGTCGACACAAATCTGGCAAATACTCATTCAGCCACTTGCGCCAGAATGAATGAGCGAGCTGTTGCGTAACACGCCA